GCATACGTGATCAATTCAAATGCGAATCCAAACGAATTTACATTAGGTAGCGGAACGTTTCGAACAGTATTTACGTAATTATTTAAATCGTGCGATCGGTTTGTATTTTATCCTCATTGTAATTTTCATTGTGCATTCTTGGACGTGATCAATTAATCACCTAAAACGATCAAACGTCCTAGTTTCCAAGATACTCTCTTTTTTATAACACTTTTAGTTGTCCTTTCGAACTCGAAAGAGATTCGCCAGTTTATTCTAATTTAGTATTCACGAATTATAAGGTTAAAATGTACTTCAGGTGATTTATGAACTCAATTTCAAGAGAGGAGAATTCTATTTACATTTCTATATTTTTAATTTTACTTGCGAATCTTTTGTGTGTGTATGTATACGTGTGTTTGTGTTTGCGATCGCAGGTACATATATTTTAATATATATTTTATATATAAATGACTTATTTTATATGTAAACGATGACATAAAACCAGTTTTGAAGGAAATCGATTGTGACAAAATCAATAATTTACGAGAAAAAGTATTTTCAACGGTATTTTCAAAATAAATCACTTATTCCAGTACATTCTGATATACGATATTTGGTAAAAGTGTTTTTTTATATTAAATGACATATAAAAAGAATTATATATAATGAGTGCTGTAAATAAATGCAACTTATAGTGCTATAAGTAAATGCAACTTTCGATATACATGGTACATTATTATTATTATTAATCCACTTAATTATTTTTTTTGATGATATATATATATATAAAACACCTTAAGCACAATCGTGTTGTAACGTAAATCAGTGAGACACATTGGTATCATATTCGGTGACCGTCATGTCAACAGTTTAGCGCCCCAAGCGAATGTTAATAATGCCCGATGAGATGGCATCCCTCGCTATAATTCGCTAAATAAACATCAGGAAAAAGCTCACCGAATAATTAACATAGTAATAAAATATGAGAAAAGTTTCATGTATTCAGATTCGTTCCTCTTTTTATAAATATACTCACGTATCAGATTCGTTCTCTTTTTATAAATATAACTAGTACCCTCATTTACTTTCTGAGCGTTTCTAGCTCAAGAATGTCTGATCATCGTATTTCTGCCTGATGTCGTACAATATATTGTGTATAAATCAATCGGGTCGTTGGCGTCAGTCGTGTCGGTGCATGCCGCAGCCTCGAGACGCGAGAATCTAA